TTTTTTTTTTTTTTTTTTTCTTTTTTTTTTTTTTTTTTTTCTTTTTTTTTTTTTTTCCCATACTTTTAATCATTGATGGTATCTTTGCATTTTACAGAATTGGTTTATATTTGATCTCTCAAAAATAGTAAAGATAGTTACCAGCCTCCTGTAAACAAAGGTGGTTTTCTATTTTGCTCTTTGTTTTTGTGTTTGCTTTTAAAAACTGAGCATAATACTTTCCAAGTGACAAGAATGGGTTTTGAAATGTGTGGTCCTTTGGTTTGGAAAACATTCTGTAACTATAAAACCTCATCAGCGTATTTTCTTAATATGTAAAAAATCAACAACATAGTCACTTTTTTTTTTTTTTTTTTTTGGTGGTGGTTTCCCTGCTGTATCTGATCAATGAAATGCTCTGTCTCCCAGAGCTTGCCCCTGCCTGTGGTTTAGTATGACTCAGTCTGACACTGAAGTATTCAGCTAATATCTCTTTGGTATTTTAGTGGTATATTGCTTTGGAATTTCTGCCATTTGGGATTTTTAATCCAGTTTCCCCCATTATTATAGAATTTACTATTAAATGGAAGTTGTATTATTTAAAAAATATTATTATGTAATATTTGATCCATTCCAAATGTTATATATCTATGCAAGTTCTGCCGCTAGACAATGAAGCAGAGTCCTGTCTAACTGCCTTGGAACGCGGCTGACGTCTTGGAAGTTACCTGCGTGCTTCTCTCTGATTGCACTTCTTAACGCAAGTTCATGGCACCATATTTAAAGTTTCCACAATAGTGGTCTTGCAGCCACCAATCTTTCTCTCGTGCTGCACTTTACTATGTACAGTGCATTCTGCAACGTGTCACCAGAGTGACTGAGTAACCTTTTACTGGCAGAAATGGGTCGGTTGTTCCTTTTTAAAGTAGAGGGTGTAAATAGGATTCAGACACTAGGGTACATTAGTCCATAAAATGAATATATTTTTTATGTCATTTATAAGGTATTGATTTTAGGTCCATTAGATTCACAGTCCCTAGTGGGAGAAAAAAACAATGATTTAATGGAGAGGTTGGAATTCCTGAAGGAAGAGCAGCAGTGATTAACCCTTTCTTCCTCAACTTCCTGCCCTTTTTATGTATGTTCTTAGAGCTGAGGCCGGACCGGTGGTAAGGGAATGAGGCTCTTATCATCCGTCTTACTCGTAGTTTACAAGGGTCACGAAACAGATTTCAGCTGCGGTATTACCACGTCTCTGAATGAGATAGAACAGATCGGTCTGAGCTGATACGGGTTTTCAAAATCATTCTTTAGATGGTAGTTTTTAAGTTGACGGATTCACTTTATCTTTGTAAAACACAGCGCATATTTATTATTTGGAGAATTTTAGCAATATGCTGTTGTTTAAGGACATGATAGACTATGAAAGAATTGGGTTTTTCTTTTTTAAAGGAAAAGATTTTTTTTTTCCAACTCCAGATAAAGAAAAGTACATCCCAGTGTCGTGCCAAGTTGTAACATTTCTTAAGCAAGTTTTAAGAGATATTAGGGAGAATGGTGATCTTAGGAATATCTGAAGTAGCATTTTCCCTATTCCATCAATACATAGAAGATGATTGGCTTATACAAATCTCTTTTATGATGACATGATGACTGTGGTGTCGTTTCACTGCTAGGTAATTAAATTTGTGTGCAGAGGCCTCATAATAATTCTAGTTAATTTCATACACTGATGTTACTACCACCTAAAAGGGATTTCCTCCTAGGCTGCTTTGGTAGCTACGGCTTTATTCTTCTATTTGATAAAAGCTAATTATACTATAGGCAGAAAGTTACTTTTTTTTTCATTTCAATCATCTCTCCAATCTTCTAACATCTGATATCTTTTGGTGGAAGAAATACACCAACTGAAATCTGATGAACTCAAAACTGCTCTTGACATAAAGTTGATAGTATACATAAACATTTTTAGAATCTTATTTCAAGTTCTATAACAGAACTATAAAAATACAGGCTCCCTCTTGTGGGTAAAATTACCAGCTGTGAATTTATGTGTCACCCACCTATACGTTGTGACAAAATTTCCGTTTTTTAATTAAGTAAATTTAACAGTAGTCATGTCTTTACATTTGGTCAAGTGTGTCATTTCCATTAACTGAGAGAAAAAGTATGACTTGGGTGTATGTTCTTAGTAAAATTTGTAATAACAATTTTCTTTTTAATTGACAATGTATAGTCTTTAATTTACCTCAGCATCATTTCTATAGTTCAAAGTTTTAAAGGATAACTGTTCTCATTTTGAGATATTCTCTAATGGAATGATTAGTAAACTGTTGAAATACTGTAGATTCTTTGTCATTGTGGTGACTTTTGAATTTCTGTGCTTATCAATAGCGGTTCTGATACTGGGATGAAGTAAAATCCCACTACACGGTTTATGTAATTATCCTCCTGGACAACATATGGTAATGAAACTCCTCAAATACCATAAATCTTGTAATCAAAACTGAATAATCAGTGATGTAAACATAAACAGTGAAACATTACTCAATTTGTTTTTAATTGAGCAGATAGTGCAAAGAACGCATCAGAGCTGAGGCTGTGGCTCCCACCACACACAGGTCCCCTGTTTTCATGAAGCTGAATTTGGGGAATTTCATCTGATTGCCAGGGTCCATTCTTGTCTAGTCCCTTAAGCCTAGGGAAATTGGTAACCCAGCCAGAGTTCGATTCATTCATGCTAGTGACAAGAGCAGTATTTCTTTCTTCTTTGTATTTTCTTTAAAAAAATTACTTATTAAAAAATTACTTATTTAACTTTATTAATTTTTAAGAGAGATTTTTGCCATAGGGAACATGTGCTTGCCAGAGAGACAGAGAGAGACAGAGAGACAGAAAATGAGAAATCACCCCACCAGGGGCTATGGCCATGTTGCAGTCTCTTCTTCGTTCTCCTCTTGGGATTTTGGGCATGCATGAACACATGTCCAGTGTGAGTATCGACCACCAGGTCTGGGGTTCAAACCAGAGTCAACTACATGAGAGTCTAGCAATGTAACCATTATTCCATAATCTTGTCTCTTAATTATTATTATTATTATATTATTATTATTATTTTAATTTGACCAGAAAGATGTAGGGGGTAGGGGAGGGAGAAAACAAACCACCAGGTCTGGGACTCAAACCATGGGCAGCTATGTGGGAGTCCTGAACCTTAACCACCACACCACCTGCTGGCCACAGGAATGGTATTTCTGAAGTTGAGCCTGGCAGTGCAATTATCAAGGTACATTGAAGGGGCTGTGAGTGGAAAGAGGTCTAGGCCTTCCATTGTGGGTTTGAATGGAATCCAGGAAGGGATGTTGCAGGGTGTCTGAACATCTCAGAAATCATTTCAAGAAACAAGAATCTATCTAGAATTGAAAATCCTTAGTGCAGCCTGTCCATGGAAATTAGCCTAAATGGGGTTGAGTCCCAGACCCGGTGGCTTGAAAATCACACTGGGTGTATGTGCATGCATGTCCAAGATCAGGGGAAAAGAATAGAGGGGAAGGGATTGCAACGTGGCCATTGCTCCTGGGGGATGAGTTCTCACTTTTCCTCTCACTGTCTCTGCCCCTCTCTGGCAAGTGCACACACCCACCCTATGGCAAAAACCTAAAAAAAAAAACAACAAAAAGAGACTAGACCAAGTGAACAATTTTTGAGGAGATTCACAAATATGCATAAAATGTTACATGTGCATATAACTCTTTAGATTCATCCTGGCTTTATAATGCCAAGACAATACCTCTTCTTCCACATGCTATGATTTTGTTATCTATATCTGTAAATTTATATAGACTATATGTTTATTAATATAATATAAAATAAGTGTATTTTGAAAACCTTAGAGATCTCCTACTTCTGAGAGTCATAAACTGATATATTTACCAAATGAAACGATGCACTATTAATGGTCTACTTTTATTTTTTCCAGCATTCTTCTTGCTGATGACACAATTCCTGTTTGAATCTGTTTACAAGATTCTGAAGGCTGGACAAAGAGTTTTGGCATCGCACTGGGTAGGAAAATGGTATATTCATAAAACGCATAATATGTACCTTGGAATAATCAATTACTACATTTGCTACTTCCCCCAAATGAAATTTTTTATGACTTCTCTTATTCTTTTAAGATTATTATTATTGTTATTATTATTGTTATTTGCCATAGGGCCTGTGCTCTCACTGAAGAGAAAGAGAAAGAGAGGGAGAGTGAGAAATCCCCTCCTCCCCAAAGGGGCATGGCCATACCCCAGTCCTTTTTCTCCCAATCTTCTTTTGTGATCTTTGGGCACGCATAAACCCAAGTCTGGTGTGATTTTCAAGCTACTGGGTCTGGTACTTAAACCACAGTTGGCCAGTGGGAATCCCGCCCTTTAGCCACCATACCACCTTACTGGTGCCCTCTTATTTTAAATTTATAAGTAAAAATATATAGAACATATACATATAAAACTATAATACATGGCCTTTTATATTGAGATGGCAACTGGCTATAACTATAATTTTGAGAGGCATTATGAAGATAATCTCTCTAAACTGGCACATGATAGGGACACTGTAACTTCCCATCTCCTTAATGAGGTACTCTTTATTGAAGTTGCAAGCTTTTTTTTTTTTTATCCCCTCTACCAAACATGTTTTTTGAAACATTCATTGTTACTATTTGTTATTGTTGGGAAAGAAATATTTTGGGTTACAATGGATAGGTCACACATTTTAGAAAAATTTCCATAGGCCATTAAGTATGCCAGGGTTTGTTTCTGTAAACATATATAAGAAATAATGCAATTTTGCTGAGGCTAAACATATATTTTCCAGTTTGCTGCCCAAAAAAGTTCATGAGTGTCTATCTGTGTGTGCATTTATGCAACAGTACTTGTCTGCTCATATTCAAGTTATACTCTTGAGAAAAGGAACTGAAAGTTACACCATGGACCTGGAATCGGAAATCCTTTGTCAGTCCCTTCGCTTTCTAGCTGCCATGTGGGTCACACAGAATGGGTGGATATGGATCTTGCTGTTCAGAAGAGCTTGTCCCTCTTCAGAGTAAGATCAAAAGAGGAAATCTCCTTCTTTGAATAGCTAAAAAGAATAATGGAAAAAAGTGGTCTTCTTGCCTAGTGACCTAAAACTTACTATTCAGTAATCTACTCTTAAATTCTTACGGCTTATGTCGCTAGCACTTTCAGATACCGGTATAGTTGGGAAAATCTTTAGAATCAATGGTACGTATTATCTTCCTTAAAAACTAAATGGTTAAAATCCTAAATTGTATTATTTAAATCTTTCTAAATAAAGCTTCATATATTCACAACAATTGAAGCAATATACTATAATAGAAGGCATTGTGAATAATGAGTTTTTATGCTCAGAAAAGGAAGATAAGTCATAAATTGAATTATTGCAAATATAGAGTTTCTATAGTTTTACCAGTAAAAGACCAGTTTTTACTTGTAAAAATGAAAAGGCAAATGACAATGTGGGACTACCACTTGCAGTAAAGATAGCAAGCATCAAATGTAAAGAGCTCTTATCTGTTCTAAGACCTTGATATCTTAATTTTTAAAAACAACAAAATGTAGCACAAATAATAAATGAGGAATACAGATGGAATGCAAAGCTCACAAAAGAAATGTAGTCATGCCCCACCAACTATCTAGTAAAAATTAGTTTGGGGTGCTAATACTGTAACAAGTAGTTGGGGAGATGGGCATGCTCAGTAATGCTGAGTAAAGGTTGTATTTGTTCAAATTCCTAGGAAGTGATTGGGCCATCTCTGATAAGAGCCTGAAATGTTTACAAAGCATGCTATGCAGAATTTCCATTCTATTAGTTTGGAAAATACTTGGTTGCAAGAAATTCACAATAATGTTTTTTTTTTAAAGAATTCTTTTATTTAACTTTATTTATTTATTCCTTTTTTTTTTTTTTTAATTCGTCCAGAGAGGGACAGAGTTAGAGAGAAAGAAAGGGAATGTGAGAAAGCAAGTTGCCAGGTCCAGGACTTGAACTGTATATAGTCAGCCATGTGGGAGTTCAGTACCCTTAACCAGCATGTCACCTGCCAACCCCAATGATAGCAGCTTTTATAAGATAGAATTTGATGTTCTCTTATGTGGAGTCTATAGGTAGTTCAGAAGATGGTGAGTGTTTCCACAGCTATCAAGACCCCAGAACCTTCATCTTTTGCTCTGTTACTCTGAACATGTGATCATCCGTGTTCACAAGATATTCTTGGAATATCCAGAATTAGTATTTCAGAAATAATGTCCATATTCTAGCAACAAGAAGGACATATTACAGGAAAAAGAGCATGCCTTACCTGCTAGGGACATCTAAAAGATGTCTCCAGCTTATATTTAAATCCACAGTCTAAAATACCATCACATGACTTTGCCAAGTTGCAACAGAACCTGGTAAATATAGTTTCTATCCTAGAGATTACACTTTAGGAACCGTGGTTCGAGTCCTAGACCTGGCAGCTTGAAAATCACAGTGGGTACATGTGATTTTTTTGGACATGCATGCATGTCCAAAGTCCCTGGAGAAGAATGAAGGAGAAGGGGTTGCAGCTTGGTCGTTCTCTCTGATAGGTGGTTTCTCACTTTCTCTTTCTTTTATCTGTATTTTCCCAGTGAGCACATATTAAGAAAAGAGTATATGAGGGCCAAAGTAAGTAACATCTGACAAATTTCACTTCCAAGAATCTAATTTAGTGAAATAAAGAACAGGAAAGTTCATCAACATTTATTCATAAGGGAAAAATTTGAGATTGACTTAACTTCATTGCAATAGAGCAATAGTAAGATAAAATAAATGTGTATGATATTATGCAGGAAAGATGTAACAGCTCAGCATCATCTTTTTGGATTGTCTTTACTGCAGACTGGTTGGAATGAGCTTTCCTTTGCAATAGAACCATTCATTCACTTATAAATTTTGATCATGTTGTACAGCCTGGCTACCTCTTTTGGGTCAGGGTGGTTTGAGGTACTGCACTTCAGTTCAGTGGCATGGGATCAGCACGTAACGGTTTTTGGTGTGCATGCCTGGTTCAAAGGCAAGTAGCAAAATGTTACAGACTTACCTTTATAGTGTGTAAGTGGAGAAGGTTGAATACTACAGTTTTAGATCAAGAATGTTTTCTTTCTTTTGTTACTTTTTTTGTTACCTTAGAACATTAAAGAAGTGAGAATTAAACTCTAAGCTAAATGAAAAATCACAATTAACTAGAAATGTGTGAGAATTCTTATGTAGAAATTAGAGTGAGAGAATTTTTTTCTCCCTGAACCTAAGCTGATTTTAGTTTTTGAATTTATAAGAAAAGCATGATAGGGGGACAGCAGGTAGCATGGTTGTTAAGGCGCTGGACTCTCCCACATGACTGTCTATGGTTTGAGTCCTGGACTTGGTGACCTGCTTCCTCACTTTACCTCTGTCTGTCTCTCTCAGGTCAAATTAAAATAAGTGAATGAATAAATAGAATAAAATAACTAATTAAAAACATTTTTTTTTTTTAAAAGAGAAAAGCATGATGTTTTTCAGGAGCATAGACTTTTGAGCCATACTGTTTGGTTTCAGGTCTTGTTTGTAACAATTATACTGTTCTACTATTGGGTTTGTGCCTTAACTGCTATGCCACAGATTCCTCATATGCGAAATGGTAACTAATAATGGAAAAAAAACATACCGAGCAAATACTTCTAAATGGACATTGATATAAACAGAGTTTAAAGTCCATTCAGTAAGATAGACTTTAAAGCACAAATCATTACTGGAAATAATCACTTTATAAGTGATTGAAGTTTTAATTCGAAAGGAAGATAAAATAAGTTTCCACCTAAATACTCCTAGTAACATAACCTCAAGATATATTAAGAAATAAAACAAAAAAATTGGCAGAACAACAAGGAGAAATGAACAAATCCTTTATAGCAGTGATACTGTTTCTTTTCTCTTAATTATTGATCAAATTGAATAGAAAAATCAGTAATGATTTAGAGCTGCAGACAAGATTAAGACGTTTGAATTTATAGACATATGTGGGGTGTTGCTTATGATTGTAAAAGTCAGATTATTTGTAAGCACATATGGAACAATTTTTTAAATTTCCTATATTCTCAGTTTATAAATATGACTTAGTAAGTTATGTCTCAACTATTTTCAGAGAATTGAAATTGTACTACAATAAAATTAAGCCACAGATAAATAATGAAAACAAGGTAGAAATAAAGTTTCAGACTTAAAAAGAAATTGCAATGGAAATAAGAAATATTTTAGATTAAATAGTAATGAACACCCTACATAATACAGTCATAAAATGTGTGGAAGTATTTACTGGGGGAGCCAACAGGTGATATGGTGGCTAGACTCACACGTGACAAACTTCAATTTAAGTACTGGACCTGGAGGCTTGACAGTCACACCGGGCATGTATGCGTGCATGCTCAAAATGATGAGAGAGAATGGAAAAGGAGCTGTGGCATGGCCATCCTCCCTGGGGGGTGGGAGGATTTCTCACTTTCCCTCTCTCTGTCTCTCTCCAGTGAGTGTTCATGCCCTATGACAAAAACCTAAAAAAAAAAATACATTTATAACAAAGGGTAACAAGGAAAAGGCCAAGAATTTATCTCTAGAAGATATAAAATGATGGGCTCACCAAAAAACTAAAAATAGAACTACATTGTGATTTAGTAATTACAGTACTGAGTATAGACCCAAAGAAAGGGAAATCAGTATGTTGAAGAGGTGTCCTATTGCAGCACTACTTGCAATAGCTAAGGTGTAAACTCTACCTAAGTGCCTAACAACTGATGAATAGATAAAGAAAATGTGGTATACACATACAATGGAATATTATACAGCCAGCAACAGGATGAAACCCTGTCATTTGTGGCAGCATGAATGAACAAAGAAGAAATAATGTCAGATGAAACAAGCCAAGCGCTGCAAAACAAATACTGTATGCTCTCACTCATTAGTGAAAGCTGAAGATTTGATTGCATAGAAGTGGAGAG